TAATACAATTATTATTATTATTATTATTATTATTATTTTTAGTATTACCACTGTACCTAAATACTGTTAGACTGATAAACATTGCTTAATTTAACTGTATTTTTGTACTATTGTATTGATTTAGACGGTTTTAGATGGTTTATTATATATTATTGATATTATTATTATTATATATTATTATTATATTTTATTATATATTTTTATTCAGATGCACTTCTCTATAGAATAATCCCAATCAATCTAAAATGACTAATTCTTTCCAAATAGAGATAAATCAAGTCATCTGGTGAAATATATATATAATCATCTTGTCAAATATTTGCCCACGTGTGTATTTATATATACACATAACAAATATATACAATTCACACAAACATATATTATGTAAATACAAACTTTTCTATTGCATTACCAGAACTAATCATTGCTCAGCTCTAAAAATTACATGCCTAAATCGGTTTTGGTCCATGCACGATGAGTATTTGACCATGCAAGAACATTAATATTGTGTGCACATTTCACACTCTCTTCAAATAAGCACAAAGCAAAAGATGAATTTGCTCAATAATAATTCACCATTCAAGCTTGCATACAATCGCGTAGGTGAATGGTGTAAATCCAGGAATTTATTACATTTATCGATCTCAATATCACTGTAGATATGAGTAGAGAAGAAAAAAAGGCTGGAAAAATGTGTTTCTCTTTCTAATTCTAATTAGATAGCAAAAAAGCGATGGTATCTCGGCCAGCCGTTCTCATCTAAACACACACATTGAAAGGATTCCAGCGAGGTGTGGGGATGCGGATGATGTAATGCAACCCGTCTATGTGGTTTCTTCCTCTGAACAAAGGCGGACTCTTATCAGTTTGGCAAACCCGCAGAATGGATTAGCTGTGCATGGCTTGAGCCTGTAATAGATCTTCTCCGTAAACCATCTCAAGGACTTTCAGATTCCTGGCACTCAGCACTTTCACGGGCAACAAGCAGCAGCGCTTTTCACACCAAATTCAGTCAATGCTCTATTTGGGGGTACTGCTCATTATTTCAAACCCAGACATTCGGAATTCACTTATGCAAAATAGAATGGATTTCTATAGGAAACAGGCTATTTTTTTTTGCAGTGCAGTATGATGTGATGTTTAAGGTGCATGGTGCAGATCTCCGACAACGCACTGTCTACTGACCCCCTCTAGTGGTGTAGCACAAAACTGCACTGTTATGGATGCAGTAAGAATGATGACTGTATTCAGAACGGATTACTAGCTTATTATTTATTTAGTGAATGCCTAGCTGTAGAGTACACAGTGTTTACTGTACATTATTCTAATCAGTTGGCAATATGTTATAAATATTTTAAGTAAGGAGTACCTACATTGTCACAATCTCCATGTTGCATCTTCAAAAATAAATCAATATGAAAAGTTTTTAGTGATTTAATTTCATTTTTTACCATTGATATATTCTCACTTCAATCAAATAAATTTTAAGAATTGACCAATTAGATTAGTGTATAAAATTTTTCCCCCAAAACAGCACAGTGTAACAGATAAAGCTGTTAAATAGCTGATTTAAGCAGCAAATAAAAATTGCACATTTTTATCATGATTTGCAGAAAACACCCACTAAAATTTAATTCAGTGAAACAATACAATACAATACAATTCAGTGAAACAATACAATACAGCTTAAATAAATAAATCTTTTTTATTTTTTAAAACATTTGGAACAAGAATCGTTTAAAGAGATTTAATGTAGACTTATTTTGTGTTTTTTGCTCATTTTTAGGCACACATTTTACAATCATTTAAAAATATAATAAAATGTAGTACAGCACAATTAGGTATTCTTCTATATATTCTAATTAAGTGAAATTCAGAGTAAGCAGGTTATTTTAATATTACATAAACATATCTGTCACAGTTACTTATAACAGGACATTGTAATTTGCATACTGTACTTGTAACATTTATTTGAGCTTATTTGAATCAGACACTAAAGCAGACACCTTACTTTTATGCTTTACTTTTTTACTTTTTGCTTTCTATGTACAGTTAAAGACAAAATTTTTAGCTCTCCTGTGAAATGTTTTTTCCTTTTTCAAATATTTCTCAAGTGATGTTAAGCAAAAATGATTTGACACATTAATTAACATTTAATAACTAATTTCTAATAACTAATTTATTTTGTCTTTGCTATGACAGTACATATTTTGCATTAGTTGCACAAGTTGTTTTGCATAAAACTATTATTATTCATGTTAAAGTGCAAATTAAAGGCTTAACTACAGTACAGTAGGTTATATAGGCAAGTTAATTAGGTTAATTAAGCAAGTCATAGCATGACACAACAGTGTTTAAAAAATCTTAAGGGGCAAATAATATTGACTTTTTTTCCATTTTATATGTATTTTATTTATTAATTTTTACTTGAACCGAACTAAAATAAATAAATTTTATCCAGAAGATAAATATAATAGGAGACACAGTGAATAATGTCCTTGTTATATTAAACATCACTTGGAAAATTGAAATTTCACTAAAGAGCTCATTTTGCCTTTAACTGTATATAATATCACTCTGTTATAAATTAATTGAATGCAGACACCAAATTTTTTTGGACCATGATGTATTTAGACCATGCTATATGGGTTTTCTTTATCTAAATAAGTCTATTTGACATTGATGAGTTTTAACCTAAAATGAAATTCAAGGGAACCATTTTTAACAAAACAACCATTTTCTATTTGCAAAAACATTTTTTTGAGAGATACTTTAGACTTCACTCTCCTAATTAATCAAGTGACAACAAAGTAGCGTACTACTTTCAAAAATGCTTATTATTCAGAATTAGTACAAATTCTGTTGCGCAGGTGCTATTTTTAAAAACAGCGGGGAGCATGTGGCGTATTCTGTGCAGTCGGCAGAACACAGTATGCCAGCATTCTGTTCTGAAAATAGCCACTAGGGTCACAGAGAGTCCATTTTAATTCAATGTGACATCTCACATCTGATGCATCCACGTTAACTCATATCTTTTTGTTCTCAGTGTTTGAATAGCAAAGCGTAGAGCATGATGTTTCAATATGAATTAGCCTCAGTCATTTATATATTCAACACCATTTTCAATGGTCATAACACTTACTAAAGTGTAAGGAATATCAAAAATAATGGCAGCTTAAGATTTCTCATCCACTGACAAACCAGTTTGGGTGGTTCTGGATTAGGCATGGGACGATAACCGTCTTCAATACCACGGTTTGGAAAAGCCAAGGTTTTAAAACTGTTATACCTTTCCTATAGTATATGTATGTTTTTTTTTTTGACAAAAGTATCTCAGGCTGAATATCCAAAGATCCAAAAATAGTAAAGAAATCAGTGTTTTTGAAACGAATAAAAAGAGCAGAAGTCAATGATTCATTTGAATTATTTAGCCTTACCAAAATATGTAAAATGTGTCTCAAAATATATTGTGTTCAAAGCAGAAAAAAGATGTTGTTTTTTACCCAGAAATTTAAAAACAGCATATTTTTTGAGCAGTAATCAAATACCTTGAAACCGTGATATTTTTATTCAAGGTTATCATACCGTCACAATCTTAAACCGGCCCATGGCTATTCTGGATCAGAGTGTTTTACCCCCTTGTCTGCAAGATGTTGTTAATGTTTAAAAATATGTGACCCTGGACAACAAAACCAGTCATATGTTGTTTAAAAAAAATATATTGTATAGGTCAAAATGATGGATTTTAGTTTATGACAAAAATCATTAAAATTCTAAGCAAAGATCACATTCCATAAAGATATTTAGTAAATTTCCTATTGTAAATATATTAAAATGCTATGTTTTTATTAGCAAAATGAACTGCTAAGCTATTAACCTTAAAGGCATATAAATTTAAAGGCAATTTTCTCTGTATTTCATTAGTTTTGAACCCTCAGATTCCAGTTTGCTTTAGTTCAGTTGATCTAGTTTATTCATCTTGGACAAACATTGTCTTCACCTAACAAATTAACATGAATAAAAATGTATTTATTAAGATATCAGATAATGTATAAATCTCAATTGAAAACAAACATGTGGTCCAGGGTCACATGTAATGAAATCATTTATTATAAAAAGATCCTTCTTATATATTGTAAAGAGTACAGGTCGGAATAAGCACATAGTTTTAACCTAGGTTTTTATATAAATATTTCTGACTTGATTGACAGTATTTCTATTATTTCTATGATAATTTAACAGAAAAAAGTGTGGCCCAGGGTCACATGTAATGAAATAATTCATTACAAAAATATCCTTTTAATATATTTTAAGGAGTACAGGTCAATAAGTTCGACCTATTTTTTTACATAAATACATTTGATCCCATTAACATTATTTCTATGATACTTTAGAAAAAAAAAGTTTGGTCCAGGGTCACATGTAATGAAATAATTTATAATAAAAAGATCCTTCTCATATATTTTAAGGAGGTCAGAATAAGCACATTGTTTCTACCTATTTTTTACATAAATATATCTGATCCCATCAATATTATTTCTATGAAACTGCACTTTAACATTTTGTAGTCACAAAATGTATTGTTAAGACACTAACACATACACTTGACTTCAAAATGTGTATGCTTATGTATATGAATTCACTTTTGTAAATTAGATTTAAAGGGCACACCAAAGCTTCTTCAACTAAATCTTAATGACTCCATCTTAAAACCAAATCAAATCATCTTAAAATCTAATTTAAAAGGCCATATGTTATGCATCCATTTTATCACAAATATATAGCACATGATGTTTACAAAAATTAGCTTAACCATTTGCACACTTACAGCCACAATAGTCACCACACTGACGTTTCAGGAATACCATCAAGAGCAAACATAGCAGCAGCGCAAACACACTCATCCACTGACAAACCAATTTGGATGGTTCTGGATCAGCGCATTGTGTGTGTTTGTTTTCCCTACAGTAACTGAAAAGCAAAAGAGGTGATAGACTCACGGTCATTGCAGAGTGGCCCTCCATATGATGTCATGCTGCAGTCGCAACTAAACCCCTCCCACTGCTGCAGACACACGCCCTGATTGGAGCAGGAGTCCTCCTGACAGGTAGTGCTGGGGCCTGAGGACAGCGATGATAGAGCGCAGGGACAAACAAACAGACAGAGGGAAAAAGAGAAAGAGAAGGGTGTGTAAATTTACAGGGCCTTTACGACATTACATCCAAACTAGTGAATAGTGTGTTTTTTTACTGCAGCAAAAACAGCCACACAGAACAGTCCCATCTGCTCACTCCTCATCTAGTAGCAGTGAGGACCAAATCTCGTTTTAATGACATATTAATCTTTCTTAGGCAGTCTTTAGGGACTTGAATTGGGCTAAGAAAATAATGAGAAAAAAAACAATAATGCTGTTGTGTTCAAATTTTCTGTAAAAGAAAAACAGCGTCTCTATTTTCTTTTCCCATTGTGATTACATAAATCCTTACAAGAGTGCTTATTTTAGCTTATGTTATGCCGTTATCTTGATAAATGATAGCCCTAAATATCACTGAATAAAGACCTGTACAAAACTACAAGACTTTTAAGATACATTTAGGGGACTTTTTTTGTTTAGTTTTTTGCTATACCTATAAATAAGACTGAATCCAAAATCATGTTCTGAGTATGATGCGGATTTGAATAAATGCGTTCAAGTTATTCTATAATTATGCATATGTGTAGTAGTATAAATACAAACTTGACTCATTCTGTTGAGCATCTTGGCAACGATATATGACCTCAGCTCCGTCTGCTTCCTGCCATTTACAAATATGATAGCATAGCGTAAATTGGCAGCACAATTTTCCTTTTATGAATGCTACTGTATGTTTAACTCATTTGAAGTACCGCTTTGTACATACTGTAATAATAATTTAATAGGATAGTTCACCAAAAATGAACATGCCATAATCATTTACACAACCTTAAGTGGTTGTAAACTTGAATGAATTCATTTCTATTGTTGAACACAAGACAAGCTATTCTGAATTTTGGAAAAAAAAAAAAAAAATTATTGGAACAACAACAACAACAAAATACTATGGAAGACAAAGGTTGGCTTTTCCAAGCATTCCTCAAAATATCATTCCTTGTATTCAACAGAAGAAAGAAACTGAAACAGGTTTGGAAGAGGTGGAGGATGAGTAAATGCTGAAACAATTTTCATTTTTGGGTGAACTATTTTAAGGATATATATATATTAATTCTTTCATGCTGACAAAAGTTGCATTTACATAATAAAACAGTACAATACATATGATATTATTTTATTGTTCTCATTGAAAAAATATTATTGCTTAATATTATATTTACAAGGGACTTTGATCTTCCTCTGCTTTGAGTCTACAGTTCGCTCTTGGCAAAGTAATGAAATTTGGCACACAGATCGAGCACAGCCTGCATATTAACCACAGCAAATCTGGAGTCTCTAGCTCAAAATGTCTAGTGCCACCACCTGTCCAAATTTGCACTCATCTTTATGCTAATAACTTTTGAACCCTGAGATTTTGTCTTATTCAGATTTCCTGGCTCCTTGGATTTGGTTGCATTCATTGGCATAATTTTTCATCATGAATCTTTTTCTGCCAATTTAAAGTTTTTCGAAAATCTTATTATATTATAAACTCCTCCGAGATTGTTTCACAAAAAACCAAACTAGACCATCTTTAGGCCATGCTGACAAAAAAAAAAAAAAAAAAAAAGGAATTGAAGTCAAGTCAAACCATTCTTTTGAAGGCTTTATAAATCATATATTTGTTAACAGTGCCACCTATTGATCATGTGGTGAAAGTGATTAAACCATTAAATCATATTGGTATGGATTGTATTAGCCATTTAAGCCATTTAATTTATACAAATATTCCTTAAGTGCTGCTTGCACCTATATTTTGCATTTACTGTATTATACTGTTTGCGGTACTACATTTTTAAGGTAACTAGTTGTAAATTGTACATTGGTTGAATTTAAGCAAATTAAATTTAGTGATATTCAATTTAATTTGTTTAAATTCAGCCAATATACATTGCTTACAACCAGTTACCTTAAAAAAAATTAGTAAAACCAATAAATCATTTTTTCAGTGTACATATACAGAGCTTTACAGCCACTGTAGAAAAATATGACCCCAAATTCATAAACGAAATTGTTGCATTGTACAAAAAAGCAAGTACAACTCATTGCAGGAATACAAACATTTAAACATATTTTCAGGGTTTCACCAAGTCAAATGTAAGACTTGTAAGACCTTTTTACGACCATGAGGAATCAAATTTCAGATTTATAGGGCTAAAAGCTAAGAATTGTTTTAATTGCCTAGGAGAAAAAAAGGTACTTGAACCATCAAAAAACTATAATAATTAGTTATTTCTTAGCAACATTTTTTAACTAAAGCTGACCCTAGTTGTTTTTAAAAAAAACTTAAAAAAAAAAAAAAAAAACTAAACTGTGATGTAATAGAGTTATGCTAAACCTTTCAGTGTGGACATGGCCTTACATTTTACACTTTTGGCAGATACATTAATTAAAAATGTACAGTTTATCAATTCAGACATTCTCACCAATGTTGTTGCTAGCACAAGTTTAATTAATGTTTGAGCTAAAGAAATTGGTAACTGAATTTTTAGGGATAAAACGAGAACGTATGATGAATTTGAAACTTTAAGCATTTAGAACTGACAAGATCATGAAAAGGTGGGTAAAAATAAGAATCCTATTAATTATTATTGAGATGTATTTGTTGGTAATTGGATACGTGTGTTGGACTTATTGGCTAGCTTTACATAAACCATGGAAAATTAAGACCAGTTTAACAGGATTTAAGACCTACAAGACAATATTTCAGTGAATTTAAGATTTTTTTTAAGGCCTAAAATTTGGTTTTAGAATTTTAAAACATTTCAAAACCCCGTGGACACCCTAATTTCAGAAGGAAGGTAATAACAGGAAGCGATTCAATTTAACATATCGCATGTAAAATAAATCATCAAGACTAATTCAACTGGAGTTTTTTGTCTCATGTGAGTGTACACGATTTTACTATTCATTTCATTAAGTTTCAAACTTTTAACCAGATTAAAAACAAAATTACAACGTGTGCCTTTAATCGATCTCATTACTCACAAAGACATTAAACGTGAACAGGCGACTTGATTTTAAAGTGCAATCCAAGCACTGCACCAGCGGCTGTGAGACAGAGTAGCATTGGCGGTAATGCGCAGTGTATTGGCTGCAGTAATAATAGCGGCCCCCGTGTGATAATAACATCTGCTCCTAGTATTGCTGAGGTGGGTTTAAAGCAGCAGCACTCCCTGGGGACTCGGGGTTGTAAGATAAATGGGGGCCGTCTGGAACAGCTCATTTTATGTTCGGTCTACAGAAGCGAAGCGACAGGGCGACGGGCCAGGCATATTACAGCCCGCGGAAACACTTCTGTTCTCATTTCTCTCATTACTTCAGCCCGCATGTAAAACAGGCCCCTGGCCCTCAAACGCTCCCTCCTCTCCATCACTCAGCCATTTGGCCAATCAGTCGCACATTTGCGGTTTGGCCACTTGACTCGGAAGTGAAGCGAGTCTGGCAGAGAGAGCAAAAGAGAGAGAGAGACTCTGCTCCTCCTGTCTTACCTGATCTGTCTGAGCGAGACTCATTTAAAGTCTCAGGCAGAGAAACAGAGGTTTGCCTCGCTCCCCCGACGAGCTTCTCTCAAAGCAAGTGTTATATATCTGAGCGCAGTAATCTGGCTTCCAACTCGCTGGAGAGATCCCCAAACCACTTGGGAAATTCCATCTAGTTTTAAGGCCCTTATCGGGGTGTAAAGGGTACAGACTATTTCTGTTGATTTTTGTGTGTGTGTAATGGAAGACGTTGAGATTGCAGGGTTCGACAGTGTGAGCATTTCATTCGCATTTGCAACTACAAATACATGTCCAAAGCGTAAAATGCATTTAGTAGCATGTGGCAGAGACTTTCTTATGAAATTTACAGTCATAGCTCACCCAAAAACATAAAGTTCTGCTTTTTCCCCTCATACTTCACTTGTTCAAAATCTATTTCAAAACTATTTTACCCATTCATTTATTTTAGATTCTATCTACTGTTGAACACAAAAGAAGATATTTTGAAAAAACAAATGTTCGTTGCTGGCATTGCCTTCCATAGTATTTTTTGTTCATAATATGGAAATCGATGGTTACCAGAAATCAGCATTTTTCCAAATATCTTCTTTTGTGTTCAACAGAAGTAAGAAACTCATACAGGTTTAAAACCACATGAGGGAGAATAAATTATTAGGTAATTGTCATATTTGGGAGATCTATACTGCTAAATTGATCTTAATTGTTAAAATATCTAACCGCTTTCATCAGACATTACTAAGTTTTTCATTTAAACCATGTTTACCATCTCTTTGCAATTTAGAACTAACTAAACTAATTTAGAATTCTTAAATAAATGTTGGTTGCGGCACATAATGACTTACATAATATTTGTTTTCTTACAATGGAAGTCAATGGGTCCCAGACATCAGCATTCTTCTAAATATCTTCCTTTGTGTTCAACTTAAAAGTTTCACAGCCAATAGACACTTTTGAGCATAAACATTTTTAAAATTCTTAAATTGTATAGTCAGTTATGCTATGACAAATTAAACATGATTTCCCCCGGATTCATTTTTTAGATAGTTTGCACATGATAATATTCTTATACTCATTATCTGGGATTTGATTTTTTTCACACTTCTACTTGTTCAAAACCTATTACTAAATAATTTTACCCATTCATGTGAATTTCTATTTACTGTTGAAAACAAAAGAAAAAAAGTTGGTTGCTGGCACATATTGACTCCCATAGTAGGAAAAAAATATGTAAGTCAATTGGTACCAGAAATCAGCATTCTTCCAAATATCTTCTTTTGTGTTCAACATAAGAAAGAAACTCATACAGGTTTAAAACCACATGAGGGAGTTTCAATAATGAGGTAATTTTCATTTTTGGGTAAATTATGCCTTTAAGATTGTGTGATCTATACTGCTAAATTGACCTTAAATGTTAAAATACCTAATTAGTTTTACATTTATTTGGTAT